GTCGACTGTCTTTCTCTCTCCTTCGGTCGGCTTTGCTCTGCCTCAGGGGAACGAGAGCTTCTGCCCCAAGACCGACAAGAGCTGCAGATATTGACTAGGAGGCTACAGTCACTGAATGTCGCATAGATCTGTGGCTTAACTAATTCAACACAGATCGGATAGCTACTTATGTATTAGGATATTTAATATTAAGGTAATTAAATGGTGGCGAAGGTGTGGCTATTGGGGGAGGCTGGAAGCCACGTAAAAAAAAAAAAAGTAGCAGTACTAGTAGTAGTAGTAGTAGTAGTAGTAGTAAAAACGTGGGTAACTTACAGAGGATCACGCAGGCTATGTCGGTCGCAATAGTAAATGTAGAGATTAGGATACGCATCACCATGTAGAAATAAAGAGTTGGGGAGAAGGCTGCCACCATTCCAGTCACAAACGTCATCGCACTGGCTAGCAGCATCGACCGTCGACGACCAATCCTGTCAGTGAAAACCACCGTCATTACCGTTCCTCCCCGAGCCTCACACACACACACACACACACACATCATCATCTGCCATTCATTCAATGTCAGATTGGTCGGAATTTGGCAAAATCATACATACTTTTAGAGGTATTTCAGAGGAAAAGTAGATGGACCACCTCCTCCCCCCCCCCCTAATTTGAGTGTGCTGAATCCAAATTTAGTGTATGTTGCCTCGTCAGTCTGCCCTTAACCCCTTATATCGCGGAAAACAAAATGGCTGCCGTGATCACTACTGCGGCATAATATAAGATTTACTTTATTTTGAAATATAGACTAGCTAGGTCAATACTTTTGATGTCTTTTCCTAAAATTTGGGGGTCAAGGAGTTCATATTTCACACTCTACTCCATGGAATAAAAAATATGTTCAAAATTGCTGTTGTAGGCTATTCTATAAATGATACAGGAATATTTAAATATATATCACAATTTTTGTGGCAAAACTAGATATGTTTAAATGAAAAAAAAAGCTCATTACATTCACTGCAGTCTTTAAAATCCAAGAAGTTTTTGATGCATGGTAATGGATAAAAATGTCACATTATTGGTACGTTGAATTTTTTTAAACACATTATCTAGATCTTCTTGAACACTTCATAAGGATTAATAAGTGGCATCGACAAACCTAAACTGAGCATTTTCATACAAATATCAAGAAATATAAGTTATGGTTATACAAAACTAGATTTCCTCGCATTTTTCCCGAAAAATCATTATTTACCTACCGAATTAGACAGTGTTACCAAAACTACTCATCACCGAGAAAAGCACACACACACACACACACACGCACGCACGCACGCACGCACGCACGCACACACACACACACACACACACACACACACACACACACACTACTTTGTTGTCACTCGGAATCGAGTATGACACAATGATATAGTTATTAGGGATGTTACATAGGTTGGTGAGTTTTGAGGTGACTAAAGAGGCCGATATGGGACCCTCAGTGTCGTTCACATTCGTGTGGGTGGGGCGGTAGCAGCGTCTTTCCTGCGTCGGCGCTTGTCTGCCTCGGTGTGCAGGCGAGCTAACTCGAAAGGATTGACACCATCTCGTGTGGGGTCGATTTGGCACTTTTTCAAGTTTGTCTTAAGACTATCCTCATACCTTTTCAATTGCCCGCCGGCGTAACGTTTACTATTCGTTAGGTGACTGTAAAGTAACTGCTTTGGCAGTCTACTGGCGTTCATGTGGGTAACATGGCCAGTCAAGTGTAGTTGTTCATGGAAAATGGTACCCTCAATGCTCCTACGGTTTGTGTCAGCAAGAATACTCGCATTTGTTTTCTTGTCTTCCCAGCGAATTCGGAGGATGGAACGTAGACTACGTTGGTGAAAGTTTTCAAGTCTCTTGAGGTGCCTCCTGTATGTGACCCATGTCTCACTGTCATAAAGCAGGGTGGGGAGGACCACTGCTCGATATACGTGCAGTTTTGTAGGTAATTTCAGCTCCCTACACCTGAAGACACGATTTCGTTGTCGGCCAAAGGCTTGACATGCACATTTGATCCGATGCAGATTCTCTTAATCGATGTCTGCGGGGGTGGACAGTTGGGAGCCGAGATAGCGAAAGTAGGTAACATTAGAGAGGTCACTACCGTTAATCTAGATGGATAGTGGAGGTGTGTCTGACCCAGGGGCATGTTTGAAAGAGAATCTAATTCTTACGCATATTCACCTAAAGGCCGAAGTGTGCATACGCATCTGCATATGTGTTCAGGATGTCCTGTAGGTCGTGCTCAGTGTGAGCGACAAGAGTGAGCTCATCTGTAAACTGAAGTTCAGTAATGGAAGCTGCCGACGCCTGTGTTCTCGCCTGGAGTTCTTCACCAGGTAATCGATGTCCACCCCGCCGGGTAAATTGGCACTGGCACGAGCAAGAAAGGCAGCCAAGAAAATGGAAAAGAGAGTTGGTGCCAGTACACACCCTTCTTTAACCCCTGTTTGGATGGGAAAGAACTCAGACTGGGTGCCGTTGTACAGGACATTTCCGTTCGTGCCATCGTGAAGTTGCCTCACAATGGCAATGAATTTTGGTGGGCAGCCAAATCGGCTGATGGTCCACCAGAGGGCTTTCCTGTTGACCGAGTCGATGGCCATGGTTAAGTCGAAGAAAGCCATGTACAGGTCACGGCGCTCTTCTCTGCACATTTCCTTTATCTGGCGGGCAGCAAATATCATGTCAGTGGTGCCACGTGATGGTCTAAAGCCACATTGAGATTCTGGGAGGAAGTTTTCTTCCTCAAGGAGAAGTCTGTTCAGGAGGATTCGGGTGATAATCTTGCCAGCTAAGGAGAGCAGCGAGATCCCTCGGTAGTTGTCACAGTCTGACCGGTCTCCTTTGTTCTTATAAATATTGACGATGGAGGCATCTTTAAGAGCTTGGGGGATTTCCTCCTTTTCCCATATATTCTCAAGGAGAGAGTGGAGACGTTTGGTAAGCAGAGGTCCTCCTGCTTTATACACCTCGGCTGGGATTCCATCAGGCTCTGAGGCTTTGTTATTTTTCATCTGTTTGATGGGAGTAACTACCTCATCCAGGGATGGAGGATAGCTGAGAGGTGTCAGCTGTGGATGCTGTTGGGTAGTCAGGACATCCACCTCGGTGTTTCGGTTGAGCAGTGAATGGTAGTGCTCTTTCCAGCACTGAAGGAGGCCTTCATCGTCTTTGATTATGAAGTTACCGTCGGATGAAGTTACCGTCGGATGAGCGGAGGGGGGCTGCGCCACGAGTGATTGGCCAATAAAATGTTTTAATAGAATTTGAAAAATTCTCGCATCTTGCGCTGATTTGCATTTTTTTTGACATGCTTGATTTTTAAAACAATCGTTGTTTAGATTGCAAAGTTCCCCCTGGCCACCGCTTTCTTCTTGTGGAAGGAATCAGCTTTGGTCCGAGACTGAGGGTTGTTTTGACAGTCGATAAAAACAGCACGTTTATCATCGATGAGTACATTAATTGTCGGGTCAATTTCATCAAACCAGTTCTAGTTTATTCTTTCGATCTGGCCAAGAGTCTCTCTGCAGGCTTTTGTCATGGCAGTGTTGAGAATATCCCATTCGGCACTGGGATTTGCAGTGTTTGCTGTTGGGTTGTTTATCAGCCCATGTTCGAGCTGCTCTCTGAAAGCATGTGCTACCGCTGTGACCTCCAGACACTTAGTGTTAAAACCTCTTCTGGAGACCTGCTGCCTTCGCCGCTTTGGGGCGAAGTGAAGTGAGAGCTTGGAGCTGACAAGCCGAAGATCAGTGTCACAGTGGTCTGAGCCATTCATGGCACGGGTGATGAGAACATCTCGGCGATCTCTTTCTCCAACAATGATGTAGTCAGTGAGATGCCAGTATTTGAATCGTGGGTGTTGTCACGAACCCTTCAACTTGTCGGCCTGCCTAAACAAGGTATTGGTGATAGTTAGGTTGTGTGCAGCACACTCGCTGAGGAGGAGTAGGCTGTTGGGATTACACTTGCCTAGTCCATTTCTCCCTACGGTTCCCTGCCAAATGTTAGCATCTCTACCAATTCTGGCATCGAAGTCCCCAAGTAGGACAACCTTGTCTTCTCTGGGGATAGAGGTTAGCACTCTGTCGAGGTCGGCGTAAAAGGCCTCCTTGATTATCAAGTTCTGCATCCACTGTTGGGGCATGTGCACTGATAGAAAAGGCATGACGTGAGTGATTCAGTGTGACTCGAAGCATTATAAGGCGCTCGTTTATCCCAATAGGCATTTCAGTTAATCAGTGTAGGATGCGTTGGCTTATGGCAAAGCCAACTCCATAAATGCGGTTTCTCTCCGCAGCAGGTTTACCATTCCAGAAGAAAGTATAGCCAGACCCTCGTTCGGTAAGTTGACCCTCATCTGGGAGCCGGGACTCACTTATGGCTGCTATGTCGATGTTATACGTATAACTTAGCTATTTATTTGTGTATTTAGGAACTTGTTCATTTTCATGTACGTATTATTGATTGTGTTTGATTCTGATTTATATCTATGTGTGTGTGTGTATTTACCTTCCTATGTTTGAACCATTTTAACTTTAAGTGGGGAGGATTCAGAAAGTTTCAATTCTTTGATTTTTTATAAAAGTTTTAGATATTAAAGAATAACCTCAGTTGTAAAATACTTTATTTGTAAATTTGGCATGCCCTATCTCTTAGCCCTTGTGGATATGTTATTATGGCCAGAAATAGTGAAAGATCTCTGTTTACAAGTGCTTAACTGAAATGTATTTTTAGAGACATTTACGCTGAAATGTCTTGGGAGCCTGTAGCTACTTATCTAAGTGTTACCTGTTCCCTTATTTGTCTCTCGAGTTTGCCATCACTCTGTCGACCAGGTAAACCCAAGTCCAAAGACAATAGCCTTGATTCTCTGGCAGATAAGTTGGAACTCCGTCACAAATGTCAGCGTATGTGGAGGCAGTCAGTTTTGCAGGCCAGGAAATAGTGTTAATAGATGACCCCCTTCAACAACATAGTAGTGATCTTGGGGAAATGCTGCTTGAGGTGTACCGGTAGCTGGTTCTTTCAGGGTGTGGGCCAGAATGCTTTTAGCAGTCTTTCGCATGATTGACATATTAAGCAATGCTGGGGTATGCTTTCCGAACTCATACTGCAGGTACTTCTCCATCTCTTTCTGCTCCTTTACAACGCATGTCACTCTCATGAAGAGCAATGTTCTATTGACTTCCGTTTCCAGGCCATGGACGACCACACTGTAGTTGTCACTTGTAATTAAATTTGCTTGATCAGCATTTGCCGACGGATCAGGAACAATATCAGTTGCGATGGACACCATACCTTCGATTCTTGAGTAGGAGAAAGGGAATGAGCCCTCAACCAATTTAGAAACATACTATAGTCCTTAACATTATGAACAGTGCTGCAGCAGAAAAGGAGGTCGTTGTGCTGATCGGAAGTTTTCAAGAGCATTGCAGAC